CCCTAGAATTTTGCCAGCAGAAACCGAGTTTTTGCTTGATAAACATATTTCTATGTCAGGATTTCATGAATCACTTCAATGAAGAGTTTGCTCTAGCTATGACAACGTTGATTGTGTTATACCTATGGTTGATAATTGTAATTTGAGCTAAGATTGGTAACTGCAGTTGACAATTACAATTTAATTGACTTTTTGACCAAAAAGTTGATCAGTGATTACTCAATGGTAATAACTCGAGGTATAAGTCGATCAGTCCAACTCCCACACTCGCGGGCGCCGGTGTGTGTGTCTGTGGGTATGGGTGTATGTGTCCGCGTGTCAGTATATGGGACTGTGCGTTGTTAAAGGGAAGTGTATTATCCGTACTCATACCCGTACCCAATGATATATATAAGCGGGATAAATATAAGCTTCTAGAGGAAGCCATGCTGTATCCAATGCTGTATATGGGCCATTTCAGGCAAAACGAGACATACCCACCTTCCGTTTGACTTTGGTTCTTTATGAGAGTGGTTTTCTGGAAAAAATCTGTTAGCATAGACATATGTAAAAAGGTTGCCTCTTTCAGCTGACACTTAATGAAAATTAATTAGTTAATTAATTACGAAGTAATTAATGAATATCTCTCTAACCATAAGAGAAAAAGATCCCAAACTTTCAAGATAGAATGTACGCCGTGGATTACATCTATAGTAAAATTTTCAGCACGATCGGACTCGATTATTTGTTGAACAGGCGATCAATTTGACAAGAGAAACTAAATTTAAAATTTTCAATCCAATCCGGAACTGCTATCCACACGTTCAAGAGGTTGTTGTTTTCGAAAGCTGAATCCTTAGTTCTGTAGAGTTCATCATTAGCTACAAGTTACACTAATTCACTTTCAGATTTTATTGGATTAAAGTACCACAAAAGAACATCCCCTAGAATTTGCGAAAGAACCCGAGAAAAGTGGTCCTCATTGATGCATGCCGAAAAACTGAATTTACGGGTAAAGTTTTAAATTTTTTCATCCATTTATGGAGGAGATCGGCATGCATCAATCAGGACCACTTTACTCGAAAAGTGGGTTCTTTCGCAAATTCTAGGGAATGTTCTTTTGTGTTACTTTAACCCGATGAAATCTGAAAGTGAATTAGTGTCTTGACAAATTGATCGCCTGTTCAACAAATAATCTATAAAGCGTATCCAAGCAATGTTTTCTATTCCAGCTGATTGATTTGTCAATGCTGAACTCGAATCTGTAGTCAGAATTGCATGTTGGATAAGAATTCAAGTATTAAATGATCTGATGTCACGGTCAAAACAAGAGAAAAAAGAGGTGGTTTTTCAAGTAGAAGAGGGTGAAACGGATCCTAAAGGAGATTTTAAAAGTTTTTAAATAATATATTTTGTAGAGGAAGTCACGGCGCGGTTTTCTGTAAAGTCTCTTTTGGCTCCCTCTCTGTTTTGTCGAGAAATTGTAGTTGCAGTGAAAAGGATTTTTGATCCATTCAGCAAAATTGGACTTCTGACCCAAGATTTCTGGATCGTTTACTTCTATCAAGAGGTATTAGATGTCAAGTGTTCATATGCATTTTGAAGGGTGAAGAAAGGCGCATCGAACCATATTATTTGGTGTTAAAAATATTTAACCAAATAAGGAAAGTCTAGGGTACCAATGTACAATAGTGGGCGATATCATGCCCTTCTAAGGGCACATCAGAGTGACCTAGATATTTCTTGTATGTTAATATGAAAAACGAAACAGAATATAGAGAGATGTGCAGAAACATGTGGGCGTTCATTCTAGGTATATGAGATTTTTTTCCTAGAGATGGCAGATTTTCGACCTTATCCGTCAGTGTGCTTGTTTTCTTCGGTACTTGGTGGGATCTGTAGCGACCCAGTTTTTATGAGGAAAATTCTATCATAGATGTAGTTCGCGGTGTACATTCTATCCTGAAAGTTTGGGATTTTTTTCTCTTACGGAGATATTCACTAATTACTTCGTGATTAATTAACTAATTAACTAATTAATTTTCATTAAGTGTCAGCTGAAAGAGCCAACATTTTTACATATGTCTATGCTAACAGATTTTCTCCAGAAAACCACTCTCATAAAGAATCAAAGTCAAACGGAACGTTCATATGTTGGAGAATCTGAACTTGCTGCAAGTTACTTTCACGGTGCAAAAAATGAACTTGCCGAATATTTAGAATATACAGGAAAAGAACCTGCAAACTTCCATACTAGTAAACGTATATATTCTAAATGTCCTATACACCCTATATATCCTAAATGGCCTAGTCAGTCAATCAGTTAGACATATATGTTTAGCATATACAGGATATTTAGGATATATACGCTGGCTAATTTGCAAGTTTGCAGCTTCTTTTCCTGACTATCCTATATATCCTAAATATCCTGAGGTTGACTGACTAGGCCATTTAGGATATTCAGGAAAAGAAGCTGCAAACTTGCAAACTAGCCAACGTATATATCCTAAATATTCTATACATCCTATATATCCTAAACATCCTAAATATCCTGTATATCCCAAGGTTGACTAACTAGGCCATTTAGGATATATAGGATATTTAGGATATTCAGGAAACGAAGCTGCAAACTTGCAAATTAGCCAACGTATATATCCTAAATATCCTAAACATATATGTCGAACTGATTGACTGACCAGACCATTTAGGATATTTAAGATAAGAAGCTGCAAACTTGCAACTTATTGATTTTACAATCTTTACAATTTAATTGATTTTTGACCAAAAGGTTGATCAGTGATTACTCTATCCAATGCTGTATATGGGCCATTTCAGGCAAAACGGGACATATACAGCATTGGATAGAGTAATCACTGATCAGCTTTTTCGTCAAAAAATCAATTAAATTGTAATTGTCAACTGTAGTTACCAGTGTCAGCTCAAATTACAATTATCAACCATAGGTAAGCTTATAACTATCAACCATTTTAACTTGATTAAGTTTTTGATCTGCAGAATGTATTTGATTAAGTTGAACTAACAGTTATTTTGAATTAATTGACAAGTATTATATCAAGCACAAACTCGGTTTCTGCTGGCAAAATTCTAGGGTTTCAAGGTTTTAGTGAAAACACTATTCAATGGTGATATATTAATTGCTTTTCATATTCTCTCAGGAAGTAGCTTCCCATGAAACGATAAGAAGTCTAAATGCACGAATGAAATATGCAAACGTAATTCCAAAGTGAAAGACAGATACCTGAATATAAGGACAATTTACATTGCTCCTATTTCTGATTTTGAAACAACTGTCTCTATTCTGGACAGTCGGAAAGATAATAGTGTAATAAGGAAAACGAATATTTTAGTTGGAAAACAATAAATTCCTAAAGATCATCAACTTTCAATTGAACATCATTAGCTTTTTCGTGTAGAATTTCTGTGAGTGGTGACCACAAAGGAAATAATTTGCATTATCAGCGAGAATGACATTACTGATTGTATCGAATACGACACTGACAAGAGATGAAGGAGTTGACTAGAAAAATCGATTCAAATTAACATAGATAGAAATATTCGTCGATGATTATTAATCTGTTGGAAATTGATTGAAGAATTGTAAAAGCATTACTATCTCGAACGTTAAAGCCTAAGAAATAGAACATCAATGGATTTGATAGGATAGATAATAATGAAATACCAGTTGTTTTCGATTGTGGCACGATAAAATTTGAAATTTCGATCATTGTTTCGGGTCGTGCCGGTAATTTAAAATCGGTATACCCTGCACAGCAAAAGTCGGCGAGTAAAGTGATAAAATGAACAAAGAACTTTTCCGATTCATCATTAATCCATTCTTTTGTTGCTGGTATGAATTGGAACGTTAAGCGAAGAGACTTAAACAATTTGTTTTTGTTTTAAGACGCTTTACCGATTCGTTGCTTAAAAATGTTGTATGATATGTTTAATGAATTATGGAAACATTGTTTATGTTCACAGCCAAATGCAAGTATCTTGAATGAAATGATGTTTAATAAATAGTGTTTCGTTTCATTTTTAGATGCCAAGTTTGCCACAACCAACCATTCGTCTATCAGATAAAAAAATTGAATTATTAATCGATTGGCACATTTTGTTAGAACCATCATCAATTGAGGATGCTGTAGCATTATTGGTTGCATTATACGCGGTATTTGAATTAAAATTTACATCACACAATGTTGCTATTCGTCTTCCGTACGTTATTCTATTCAATGACAAAAAATGGCATCAAATTCTATTAGAAAATTTTTAAAAGATAATAAATTAGAATCAGAAGCAAGGAGACAAACAACAACCACATTATAATCAACAAAAACTGAACAAAAACAAACGCCACTACATTCACCCCTCGAGGCTACCGATCAAGTTAATGAAGAAGCAGTTGATAGTGAACTTGAATGGCATCCATTAATATTACTCGTTTTGAAATTAATAAACATTAATAAACTCGTTTGTTTTAAAAAAGATTATATTATGTTTTTTCCCGTCGTACTTATTTGTGTCTGCGCAGTTTTTTTTCTGTGATTATTTTACGTTATTTGGTTTTGTTGTTTAAAAAAAGACAGTAAGTATAGAACTAGATGAATTAACAAAACATACGAAAGTTTGTTTAGCTGAGTTCGAGTGATCTCTGGAGCTTGTTCAAATATCTCGAACTTTTTCAAAATCTTATAGAAGACTTTTAAAATTGAAGAAAACTAAAGATAACATACGAAACATTTCAACATGCATTTCCAATTGCAAGCATCATTACCTATTATAAATTTAGGTATGGCGTAGTAACCCTCCTGAACTGTTTCTGGTTTAGCATAGTTTCATAGGAGAACGTTTAGTGACTTTAGTCATTTCTACAGCTTTGCTGGAACTACTAATATCAAAACAACTTACAAGATTCAAGTAGTTTCTTAAAATTGATAAGAATAAAAACTCTAATCTGAGATACACGAGAACTACGGTTCGAACAGACAAATTTACACTATAATGTAAATTTTGTTTTGGCTGATACCGTCCCTCCTGAAAAGAAAACACGTAATTTCTGTATCCGGCCAAATCAACGAGTTAAATGTTATGGATCATGTCCTAATTTTTTCGCTCGAATTTCAGTTCTCCTTTATTTAGTCAGACTAGAAAAGTTGTCATTTTTATCTTTTTCAATAAACAGTTAAATCGTATAGGTTGTCTTGATATTGGGAGCCATTCGGAACCTGTACGAACGAGCAAAATTAGTAAACTTTCTCCTGAAGGGTTTAGGAAAATGGAATTATTCAGAACGAATAAAGGTTTCGGAGAGTTTCTAAACCCTCTCCGAAACGCAGTTTTATGTAAACTCCTAAACCCTTATTCGTTCTGTACGGTTTCATTTTCCTGAACCCTTAAAAGTTTTTT